AAACCACGATTTATCATAATTGGATTACAAAAAGGACGCAAAAATGTGTTAACGAAAGATTGTAGTATATTTGACCATTGTAATTTAACAAACGTTAAAGTATTTCTGAACTCTATAGCTTATCCATACGATAATTTGAATTTAGATTTTACTAAAAATAATTTCACCTTATTATATAATATGTATACATCGTTTCAAGAATCGTACTATGAAAAAAGTATTCGTAACCCGATATTGAGTCCTTCTACTTTTCTGACAAACGCTCCAATTATAGTCATCGATACTTCGAAACAGAACGATTCAGCCACAGCCTCAGCAGTGGATGTTCAATTAGAAATTGAAGCTTCAGATTCCCTTACAGGTGTAACTGCTTATTGTTTATTAATTCATGATCGTATTGTAGAATATGTACCTTTTACTAGAGAAGTAAGAAAATTAGTGTAAATAATAAATCAAAATTGTATATATTTAATATTTGCTGTAAAATACTATTAACTGATTAAAAAATAAATATAAGAAAAAAAAATGTTTTTATTTATTTCAGAAAATTATATTAAAAACTGTTTTGAATTTTCTCTAGAAAATGTTAGGGAGATTGGTTACACTGTAAGGCATACATTCCTACTTGAAATTTTTTCCCTGTAAAATTTAACTCAGAAGCCCCAACCCACCTTTTTAGAATTTTTACCTATACGGTGATCGAATGTGCTGCAAGGGGAACTTTCCTCCTTGAACTTTTTTCATCTCCCTGTAAAAAGTGACTCAGAAGCCCCAACCCACCTTTTTAGAATTTTTACCTATACGGTGATCGAATGTGCTGCAAGGGGGACTTTCCTCCTTGAACTTTTTTTTTTTCCCTGTAAAAAGTGACTCAGAAGCCCCAAATTAATACTACTCCGGTCAACTCTCGTTTTTAACAGCAAGACGGTTGACGCCAACCGCGTGTGTGTTGGTGGCTACTCAGCCCAGCCGTCCCGCTGTCAAGAGGACCACATCTCAAGACCTGTGTAACGTATCAATGTAATATTCCCCCCCATGTCCCTCTCATTTATGACTGTAATATGTTTCTTTTAATTATCATTTTCGTTTCCTACGCGATATCTCAGTCGGTAACCCAACGGTGGCCATATTCTCATCATTTTTACATTATTATTAAAATCACCGTAGGTCGTTTGTAAAGTTTGCGGGTTATATTTAACTACTGCCCAACACCTTGGACTCTCAGACATATACTATATAATTGCTTGTTAAAAATAACAACTTACAATGCGTTACTCATTGCGATTTTTGTCTGGTCCTGACTGCTTGCGTGCTGACGGCCCTGCTGACTCGTCGTTGATGCTCCGCTCGGCTTGTGTTGCGTGAATGTTGAAATGTTATTTGAAGTTGGTTGCTTGGCTCGCTTTCTTCCTATGTATCAGCAACGTGGATGAACTCGAGATCCGCTGATGTACTTGGATCCAGGTTGGTTGCTGGAAAACTTCCTTCAGATGACCCCACACCTGACACCAAAAACGTGTAGTGATCCCTCACTAACGCTTATATTTTTGAGTTCAAAGACGTTGACGGTTGAATATTAGTAAAGGTTGCAGAGTGACAAGTTACACAAGTTAGGTATAAGTAATTTTATTAACGTTTAAAAAGTAATTAATCACAATTAAGTGTAAGATAAATTTGAGGACAGAGCGAAAAGCATCTGCCCGAGAAGTTAGTGACGTACAGTATGTACGTAGTGTAAACTCTAAACTAATTCTAATTTTGCTATAGACATCATCTTATATTTATATGAAATCTATGCGGATATAGCGTACACGGTAGAGTTTAGGAGATGGATATTTGAAAGGAGCCGGCGCTAGATGTTGTTATTGGCAAAAGGTTTCTGCGTAAACTATTAACAATTTAATGTTAATGTTTTCGCATTATTTTGGCCCTGCGAAGATTGAGTGCATTTATAGTCATGTTTTGCGTAAAACTATTAACAATGTAATGTTAATGTTTTCGCATTATTTGGCCATGTGAATATTGAGTGCATTTATAGTCTTGTTGTTGTCTAGCCGCTACATCGTGAGAAATGTATTTATAATATTTAAAATATAGGAAAGCGACTCCGTCGGTTTACTACAGTATTAAAGCATTAAGCGGCGAGTTAAATTTATGGAAATAATTTTGGAAAAATAAGTCAGAAAAAGCTGATTCTTCAATGGAAGCTTTTAAATATGCATCTATGTTCCCTAAAATTAAATGTATTTTAACAATTCTTAGTGTCTAACCTAGTTACTTATAACTAGTATAACTACAGCAAGTGCTGAAAGGTCATTCAGTGCTTTAAAAAGATTAAAACTTACCTACGATCGACAATTGGCCAGGAAAGACTGTACGACATAGCAATGTTACATATAAATAAAGATATTCAAGTAAAACCAGAAGAAGTACCTACTAGACATGTTTACTAAAAAAACATAAACGAAGACTTCAATTCGACCTAAGGCTATAAATTATGAAAATCTATAAAGATATTTTTTCTTATTAATGACTACGTGTTACATGTATAATACTATAATAACTTAACTATTTTGATGTGTGATATTAATGATATTATGTAATCAACATATTAAATATATTACTAATTTTGTTTAAAAATAAGAGTAAGTATTATTTATTATGATTCAAATTTTACAATTTAAAAGTGCCCCCCTCCCCTATCAAAATATCCAAGATCCGCCCCTGAAAAATACGTCAGGCCTGTGATATTTCAAGGTATTGTAATATTCTAGTAGCTCTGATGGCTACTATAGTATATTAAGGGGGTTCGTGGTGGTGATTTAATAAGGGGTCGTGTATAGGCAATTCGATGTATTATAGTCGTTTCGCAGTGTGTTTGTGTGCGAAGTAAATGATCATTAGTGTGCGTAGATACGTTCGAAATCAGTGGTTTGCACCCGCATGCACATGTCACTTAATAAAATATTTGTTTCGACGAGAAACTAATTTCAATCAATTGAGACCTAAAAGCCTGACAAAAATACGATAACTTAGAATGATCGGATTTTAGTTCTGTAACATATTTGAATTCATCGTTCTTTTTTCTAGGTTATTGTGTTAGTCGATTTTTGAATAACTGTTTAACTTTTTAAAGAAAGACACAAATAATTTTCAAAAAATTGAGGAATCGAAATTTGATTTAACGTGAATTCTAAAATAAATATCGAAAATTGATTCCTACAATAACCTAGGAAAATTGTTAATGAACTCGAATCTTTTAACAGAATTGAAATCTAATAATTCTAAGTAGGCGTATTTTTGTCAGGCTTTTAGACCTAAAAATCATGAAATAAATACGCTGCATCGAATCCCCTTAAGAGGACGCCACACCGGTCATTTTCAGCGGTAAATACACGTCCACGGAAAACAAACGAATCGGCATCAAAAAGTGGTTTTAGAGTAAAAATACCTATAATAAAACTTAAAGAGAACAATATTTTGGAGGGAACCTCATCGGCGTTTTTAAAAATATTAACTATTAAAAAAGTTGTGGTTATTTAAAAAAATTAAAAAAAGAGTTTTTGTGCCTTCAATATCTAGCTGTGTATTTAGATTAATACAAAACCCCGATGAGGTTCCCTCCGAAATATTGTTCTCTATAAAATTTATTATAGATATTTTTACTCTAAAACCACTTTTTAATGGCTTTTCGTTTGTTTTTCGACAGCATATTTACGTCGTTAGATTTGATTTTCCATCGCTATCATGTGCTGCCACCTACTATCCGTTGTGACGGCGCGACCGCGGAGGCCGCGAATTCCCCCACTACGCGACTGTCTCGTATGGTCACAGACTATATGAAAACAGATAGCTCACTCGGGATGTAAACAAAAACTATGAATATTATCACCGCGACCAAATCAGTGTGACCACAGTGAGGGCATAACATTTCGTTTGGTCCATGACAAAAAAATGACGCGATTGCTACCTGCCGCCAACATTGAAATTCATACTAACTACCCTTCTATTCTATAGGATCTGACCTTTTACATCCCTTAGAAAATAGGTTATCTTGGCCTTTAGTTGCTGTTTGCACGACTTCCATGTGACTTATTAGTTGACCACTGACCAAGTGTGTAGTTTACTTAATTTTCAGTTTACAATTTAGTTGTACTTCTTAATTTTAAAATGGATAGTAAAAAAACAGGAATGCGTTGCTTTGTACAATTTTGCAAAAGTAAAGCAAGTACTAGGAATATAAGTTTCTTCCAATATCCAAAAGACGATCGTCTAGCATTATGGACAAAAAATTGTGGTACAGAAAATTTGACTGAAGAACTATCAAAAAAAAATAGCTATAAAGTATGTGGGGATCACTTTGTAGATTCAATGTTTTTGAACTCCACAACAAAAAACCGACTAGTTTTCAATGCTATTCCAACAATATTTAATGGTAAGTAAATAATAAAATTATTAAAACATGTTTAAAATTTATACAAATAATTTGAAAAACAAATTTGGATCTTAATAAAGTAATTTTTGGTTTAATAATTTAATTTTAATTTTAGTTACGTTTTTTTGAATTTAATTTTTAGATGAAATAATGTTTGAAAGAACTAAATTGGCCAAATTACAGTCGAAAACCGATGTAGATCCACAGTATTTTGATGATAATTCAAAAGACCAGAGTAGCTGTAGTAGTTCAATTCCAGGCACTGAAGGATTAAGAGGTCATTTTAGTGGATCCATGAATACTTCTGATGCTTCAAATGAATCTTGTAGCTCAATCACAACTACTGATTCTTCAAATCAAACTCCTGGATACTTGTCGGCAAATACACCAAGGAAACAAAAACTAGTCACGGAGATTAAATCTGGAAAACAAGAAATAAAAAATTTAAAGAAGACTGTAGTAAGTCTAAGTCAACAATTAGCTAACTATGATACAGTTGAAAATTTTTTTAAAATTAGGTGAAAAATATTTATCACCTGGATTATTTACAATTGTCAAATCCCAAATGAATTTAAAAAAAAAACAAAAAGAAGGTTATAGATATAATAATGAAATTAAACAATTAGCATTAAATATTTATTTTTTAGGACCTAGAGTCTATAAACTTTTATTAAATACTCTTTCACTACCATCAATTTCTACTTTAAAACGGTTAACTCATAAATTTGAAATGATACCAGGCTTGAATGAATTTTTTTTTAATATTATTAAGTATAAAATTAAATATTTTACTGACGAAGCTAAAGAATGTGTTCTCTGTGCAGATGAAATGGCCTTAAAATCAAACCTCTATTATATGTTAAACAAAGATGAAATTATAGGGTTTCATCAAACAAATAAGACAAAGACTTATACTCCTGCCAAGTATGCATTTGTTCTAATGGTTAGAGGAATAAATGTGAACTGGAAACAACCAATTGCATACTTTTTAGTATCAAGTAGTTGTACCGGATATGACTTGCAGGATATTATTTTTGAAACTATTCGCAAACTTTTTGATATAGGATTAAATGTAAAAGCTTTTATTACTGATATGGGTTCTAACTTTGTTAGTTTCAGTAAAAATGTTAATGTTACCCCAGCCAGGCCTTTTTTTAAAGTTGGTGAAAAAAAAAAAATATATATATTTGACCCTCCCCATTTATTAAAATCAACAAGAAATATGTTTTTTCAACACAATTTTAGATTTAATAATAACTTAATTGAAAAAAAAACACTTAATATCATTTTTTGAACAAGACAGTAAATGTAATTTAAGAACAGCCCCAAAATTAACACATTCTCATATTTTTCCTGGACCATTTGAGAAAATGAAAGTTTTTTTGGCTGCGCAAGTGTTTAGTCAAAGTGTAGCAGCCGGCATGGAGACTTACCTTGTTAGTAATAAATTGGAGTCTTCTTCAAAGGCAACAATAGATTTTATTGAAAATATGGACAAACTTTTTGATATCTTCAATTCTTCAAGAAGGCCAACTTCAAAAAATTTCAATATACCCTTTAAACAAACAAAAGAACAAGAAGACCATTTAAAATATATGCATAATTTTTTTACAAATTTAATTATTATTAGCAAAAAAGAACAAACTGATGTTACTAACCGGATGAAATTTATTAATGGTTGGTTGATCTCCATAACTGGCTTGCTGTTACTTTGGAAAGACTTAAAATCAACAAGACCATTAAACCAACAAGAAAATTATGTTTTATACACTGCCAGATTAAACCAGGATACTATTGAGAATCTTTTTTGTACAATTAGACAACAAAATGGCAATAACACTAATCCAACTCCTTATCAATTTTTGTTTGCATTTAAAAAAATTTTTTTACTTAATTATTTTCAACACTCAGAAAAAGCAAATTGCATAAATGATTTGGATGCAATTTTAACTCAAATGCCCACTGATTCAGACTTAGACATTAGCACCCTATTTGCTGATAAAACACCCTTTCAATTTAAAAAAACGTGTCCACTTTCTATAGGACATGTTGATTATAGAAATTTAGAAATTCCTGAACAAAATGCATTCATTTATGTTTGTGGATATATTATGAGTAAATGTCTAACCAAACACTCATGTGAAATATGTTTAGAGTATGCAAGAACCCAAAAAAATTTAGATCCTTCATTTTTGTTATGCTTTTTTAAAGCGTATGAAAATGCTGAAAAATCAACGTTTGGAAATTTAAATATGCCCCATGAAAATTTTTACAATTATGTTTATAGCTTAGAATCTGAATTTATAAATAGTTTTCCTATTTTGTCTGTTGAAAAAGGAATAGGCGATAAACTTAAAATGAGAATGCTTAATATTGATTATGAACATCCATGTCCCAACTTTGATAAAGATTACTTACTAAATTTTTTTTTGCGTTTTAGAATTTATGCTTCAATTAAATTTTTAAATAGACATTTGGTATCTGAAAAAAAAATCAAAAACAGAAAGTTAGCAATTTTGCAGCATTTGTAAAGCAATATTTTGTAATTGTATTAATTTTATAAATATTTAGATGTATAATTGTAATTTAATAAATACCTTTTTTTATTAGAATTTAATATGTGCTAATTATACTAATTGAATTGTATGATACTACAATTGCTCCATTTATGTTTGAATACCTGTAACTAAATTATAAATTAAACATTAATTAGTTATTACTTTTGTAAATTGTATTATAAGTCTTTATATGTGTCTCTATGTTGTAAATAAAACATATTTAAGTTAGGAATAAATTATGTACTGTGTAATTATTTAGATTACCTACCTATAAATACTTATTATAGATTTACTTATATATTACCAAATTAGTATATATATCATTTTTATGTTTTAATATGTACTTACCTTTGTTTTCCTTAAGCATGGGAAATGTCTAAATATTGAAATAAATATTTTTTTTATGTAAAGTATGATATCATCATCATGTTTACAGTCTACAGTACTCATAAATGTATTGCATGTAACTTTAAATATTAACTATATTATAAAATAATATGGTCTGTGGTTAATACTAAAAGACTAAAAAAGTTTTAATGTAAATTTAAATTTATAAAGTAAAGTTAAAAATACAGACTATCTGACTATCTGTGTTAACTAATAAACTAATAAATAATAAAAACTTTTAACTATCGTCTTTCACAGTTTCACATGTCATTAACTTACGTCTTACTAATTACAATCGGTACATACAAATATACAATAATATTGTATAACATCTGAACAATAATTTATTTAAACCCACGTAGCTACACTGATTTGGTCGCACCCAATCAGAGGATCTTATTTTTTTTCCCATTGTTTTTGGCCGAGTGAGCTATCTGTTTTCATATAGTCTGTGGTATGGTTGTGGTTCGGTTATCGGTTGCCGACGAAGCGACGACCGACGCTTCCGAGAATAGATTATGCGCCAATTATGTTGGTATGAACCTTTAGATATACTAATAGTAATACCCGAGCCCCGAGGTAATACCTATGGATTTTTGACATTATAGAAATGACAACAATGAATAAATAAAATTATTATAATCAGGCTATCGGCAATCATAGGCGGCAATTGTACTTATTATTAGTTATAACGAATTAGGACAGCGGAAGTAATAATATCAGACTACTAATAGCTGTATTTCCAGAAATGTGTATAAAAATTAAAAATAAATAATCAAGTATAGGTTAATATTACTATAACTATTGTAATTCTCGAATTATCATAACTCATAAGGTAAACTCTGACAAATAACCATTCCTTCTGAATTATTCGACGTGTACAGATCTGTCACATCTGTTAAATTCAGTTTTTGTCACATTTTTTCAATTTTATTTTCGCTACATTGCGTATCATGGCAAATAAAAAAAACGTATTAAAACGTAAGCGATCAACCAAAAGTATGGTCACAAAGACACTTTCGCTAAGACGATCAAAAAAACCGAGGTAAGTGCCCTAAATTACATAATATTATTTATTTTAAAAATTAAAACCATATTACCAGTTTAAATTTAAATTTAAAAACTTAGTCTCCTTGTCTAAAACGAAAAACATAGCTCTGCTGTACAGTGTCGAATCTCGATCGTATCTCGTCATTGATTTTTTTCTGAAATGCCGATAAAAAAGATTATGGTGCCCGTCGTGCCCGAAAAATAAAGTAATTTATATAGGAAACCTATTTACGTTGATGTACATATTATTAGGATACACATTGTATTACATTTTCAAGCTTTTTGACCCAACAAATAAAATTTTACTGACATTTATAGACATAAAAACTAAACAAATTAGAATCTGAATGTATATATAACCGTAAACGGCACAAAACAAGTCAAAATATTTTGAAAATTATATCGTGTATAGAAAATTATAGTATAAACATTCAATGAAAATTTTATGTATCTACAGTAGTTCGTTTTAGAGTTACACCAAAAACCAAAATCAAATTTGTCGAAAACTTTTTTCCGTAAAAATGTTCGTTTTTCCTTTTAGATTCTGAGTGAAGCGATGAATGTATTGGTTTTACAATGATGTGTGTGTTGTTTTAGATTCTGAGTGAAACGATGAATGTATTAATTTTACAATGATGTGTGTTTTTTTTTTTAAATTTTTTTTTTATTTTTTTTTATTTTTTTTGTGTCTGTGTACATGATAAATAGTTGAAATAATGCTTCGATTTTCAACTTCTGCATATCTTGTTCGATGGGAAATTAAATCTAGTTGCTTATAAAAATAAATTTTGCATATATATTTTGACAATTTTTGAATCAATCATAAATTAATATATATTTAAAACTTTCTATTAAATTTTCAAGTATTTTGACTCAGCCAAAAAAATTTTATCGACACTTATAAAAAAAAAATCGAATATTTCAATTGCCTTCTCAATATTTTGATAAAAAAAAATACGCGAAGAAAATTTCACTTTGAACAACTGGTGGAAGTTTCAAGTTTCTAAGTTTTACCAATAAATTCCACATCTCTAACTATATGATACCTTCGTATTTCTTACTATTGCCAATTTCGTATTTTAATGTACTTATACGAATTTATTTTTTTTGATAGCTGTTCTTTAGTAACTTCTACGCCTATCAATACTACTTTGTTGACAAGAAGTCTTGCTACAATAAATAATATTTCGTTTGGTGACGAATCAAATATTGATAACCATGGTTTAGGTATATCAAATGAACTACCCAGTACATCATCTTTCAAGTATGATTATATTTAATATTTAAACAATTTTGTTGTTGTAATATTATTGTATAGTTATCTGATGTACAATTGTACTAAATTTTTATATTTTTTGCTGTGTATAGTGATCTTGACTCAAACATTATAATATCAAATGAACTACCCAGTACATCATCTTTCAAGTATGATTATATTTAATATTTAAACAATTTTGTTGTTGTAATATCATTGTATAGTTATCTGATGTACAATTGTACTAAATTTTTATATTTTTTGCTGTGTATAGTGATCTTGACTCAAACATTATAATATCAAATGAACTACCCAGTACATCATCTTTCAAGTATGATTATATTTAATATTTAAACAATTTTGTTGTTGTAATATTATTGTATAGTTATCTGATGTACAATTGTACTAAATTTTTATATTTTTTTGCTGTGTATAGTGATCTTGACTCAAACATTTTGAACGGCCGTAGAATAGTTGATATAGGTCATATTTTCAATGAAATTCAAAATAGTCGTCATAGTGGTGGATTTGAATGTTCATTTTTAGATATGATTTTTAAAGAAGAAGAAAAACAGGGATACTTTTCAATATTCCATTTTAAATGTAAAATGTGCGGAATTGAAAAAAAAATATCTTCTGAAAATACTAAAAATGTTGAATGCATTCCAATAAATAAAGCAGTAGTAAATGCTACAATAGCTATAGGTAAAATATCAAATATTTAAAACACCTATAATAGTCCTATTTAAATAAAATAACATTATATTCATATAGGTATTGGATATGCACAACTTTCTGAACTTTCGGCTAGTATCGATATACCTCCAATGTCATCCAATACATACCAATCAATGTTATCATCTGTTGGTGATGTAGTGCATGCTTCAGCGTGGGATGAAATGAAAAATGCGGGAGACGAAGAGAGAGAAATTGCATTAAAAAATGGTATATTAGATGAGGACGGGACACCGATGTGCACCGTTATTGCAGATGGCCAATGGTCTAAAAGGTCTTATAAAACTAAATACGACGCATTCTCTGGAG